AATAATAGCAGAGGCCCATGAAATTATATTATATTGATCAAAACAATCGGTAGAATTGTAAGTCAACTTGCCTATGAAATGAAATGGTGTAGTATCAACAGAGATATAGATTCAAAAATAGGATACGTCGGTGATCCAGGAAAGCCAATGTCTGTTGTCGTTGCTGATAAGCTATGTCTTGCAGACAAACTGAAGTCTTATATTCACAATGAATCAGTTTTCCTGTATGACACAACAGACAATTTAACTGGGCTGAATGGTGCAATCTAGATGTTTGAAGATTTCACTTCCTCGGAAATGACTTTTGATCATATCTTCTATTTGTGGAGCATTTTCGACAACAAAGATATTTAAAACATGTATACCTCTAATTCTGTTAGTATACATTTCACTAAGAAATGTTATCATTATTCTCACCTCAAAAGATTTAACATCCAGCTGACTGTTGTGACCTATGGCACTCAAATCAGCTTCAAAATTGTGATGAATACTACTAAATACAATGGTTTGTTCCACTCCACTCTGGTGTATGGTGCGATGTATTCTCAGTGAATCTACTTACAGTGCAATTGGTTGATCTAAATGATGGAACTGAAAATGAAGACTATACAATGGACAACATGTTGTATACTGGTGTTGCCAATGAATATCCAGAAATGTCCATTCATGGCCCTGATGTATGCGTGAATAAGTACCAACATAACAAAGCTGACAAAGAATATTTCAAGAAAAGGATCAGAGCATCAGGACTGCCAGAGAATTTGTGCAGAAGTATCATATAGAGTGACAAAAGTAGCTGGAAAAATGTAACATCTGCCTGTTCCCTAAATCTGGATATTGCCTTTGATTCTGATGTTGTTATTTTCCAAGACGTTTTTTTTTTCTCTTCAAAGTTGAAAACCATGATCACCCATTTCTATCAGTGCAACAAACAGCTTTTCCCGAAACTCACATAATGTATCCACTCTGAAGTGATTGATGGAAATAATCAATATAATCCTGAAATTATATGCGTGTTTCAACCACATGTGGAATCTGTCCATTTATCTCATCAGTAGTGAAGATTTTTAGGCTAGTCATAAGTTTGGCTAGTGACAACAAGTTGCAAGCAATGTGGTTAGTAACAATGCAAACATGTGTTCCCAGATTTAATAAGGTAAGCTCGAAATGGGTATTCATTGAAAAGATCAAAAACAATTGTGCTTGCTTGTTTGAGACAAGCTCTCGGATATCAACATAGTAATCTTTATCAATTTCTGATCTTACATTAAACATGTACTGTCTACTACTTGATCCTCCAACAATTATAAACAAGCATCAGTTAAAAACATATCTTCGACATTGACTTGAACTAATCCAAGGGAGTCCATTTAAACAATCATTGCTCTTATTTGTATGAGAAATTTATGTATATTCCTTCAATTGATGAAAAGTAACATCTTGACAGTTGATCCTTCAGTAGATAATTCTTCAACCACGTCATTAATTTAGGCAGTAGTTGTCAGATTTGTTTGCTGGAATACATTAGTTGTTTTGTTATTAAGCAACTTTAAATCCTGACGCATGATTCTAATATTGTTGCTTGCTATATCTATAAAGATGGTTTGGAAGGGTTGTAGACATTCACTACTACACAATTGTGTGTTAATTTGTTCACTAATAATGAGACAAAGCCTGTATTTCTTCCATGTCCAATGCAAGCATAACATTCTTTTTTCATTGATCGAGACTTGGCTTTTGCATGTTATTTCCACAGGTTGCCTCATATGTGAATGATTCTTCAGAAGTGTTAATATTATTTCTTTTGAGGAGGAGTCAACAATTCAGCACTGACTTCACCATACTTTAAGTGTGAATTTTCAATGCAAAGGAAACAAGACTCTAAAACCAATTCAGCATATGTTACACCAGGAACAATGGTAGTACCACCAACTTTATGGTCATAAACAAATGAAGATTTGCTTCTGTTACTGCACACTTGAATGTCATATTCTGGTTTGGTATTCTTTTAACAAATGCATATGACATCCTTCCTGGCTCTTCTAAATCATTTCGACGTTGATATGATTTTTCAGGTTTATACCAATGGCTCATTCTTTGGAATTGACACTGTGGTACACTAATGGGTATTTGTGGGTGATCTGAATACACAGCTTTCCAGTTAATCTTCATTTCCAAAGAAGTGAATTTAAATTTTCATCCAGACTCCTGAGATAAAGAAGTAAATTTTAGTTCCAACTAGACTTCGGAGAATAGAGAAGTACATCAGCATTGACCTAGATCCTGGGAATGAAGACATTTTGAAATGGATTCCTGGAAATCAGGTAATTATCAGTTGGTGTTGGTACATTATACAGATCCTGTGTAGTACAGTCATTTGGAAATGTAGAAGTCCCAAGGAATGAAAGAGAATATACAAGTTTTCACCGAAATTTGTGGGAATGAAGAAGTAAATATTCGTTTTCGATCAAGGACTCGTGTAAATGTGGAAGCAAGTGTCAGTTCCCAAATATATACTCATGGAAATCAGTTTTAACCTAGCCTTCTGGAGATGTGTGGGAATTGTTAAGAAGGCTAGGTTGAAGTTCAGGAATGGAAGAATAAACCGCGTATAGACTGCAACAGATGACTTTATGGAACGAGATCTGAACGAACTAACAAACTAAAGAAGAGACGTTTAGTCTCCTATTTATATTCTCAAAGTAAATATTGGCCTTGTTCATGAATGGTTACAATGAATATGGACTTGTACATGATTGGCGAAAGGATAAACAAGCTGATTGATTGAAATTAAAACAATCTCATTGGCTGGCTAAATCTCAGAATCCTAAATTGTAATCAAGCTCAATTTTCCGACAAGATGGAGAAGTAAATATCACTTTTGGTCTAGCCTTCTGGAGACGGAGAAGTAAATATCAGTTTTGACCTAGCCTTCTGGAGACGGAGAAGTACATATCAGTTTTGACCTAGCCTTCTGGAGACGGAGAAGTAAATATCAGTTTTGACCTAGCCTTCTGGAGACGGAGAAGTAAATATCAGTTTTGACCTAGCCTTCTGGAGACGGAGAAGTAAATATCAGTTTTGACCTAGCCTTCTGGAGACGGAGAAGTGAATATCAGTTTGATCAGACATCATTCAATCAGAGCCGAACTACTGCTCCTTCCACTGATTAACAGGAGATTATCTCCAATGCGTTTAAAAGGTCAGGCAAAACGGGAGCCAATTCAAGACCCGCGAGAGTTCAATCCAGTTCGCTCAGTGTCGAATGGAACAACCGCCCTCTTCAGTGTGAAAACAACATGGCTGAACATGATTTTGGTGTCATGCTGTATGCTGTATTTTTCACATGCACTCATTTTGGGTACCGAACTCTTTGCTTCCATGTATAATATAGTCTTGCTTCTTCAAGTTGACATTGTTATCTAAAAAATGGAACAGAGTTTAATTGCAGTGTGAGTGTGAGTTCCCTGATAGGGATTGATGCATATGTAGTACCTGCTCGTATTCCAAGATGTACTACAACAACTGACGATGAACATGCCGTGTCAAGTACGATTGAAGGAACAGTGAAGTTAAACTGATAAGATATCATGTTTGCATGTAATTTCCTTGGCATCCTAATTTGCAATTCTCCTAAAATCATCCGCCATTGTACCTGTATCAAAAAATCAAAAAAAGCTAAGAAAGAACTCCTGTGTGCTGAAGGTATTGTGTGCCTGAACTACAAATAAGGAATACTGTATTTACTAGTTTCATTAAAATTTGATGAGTGGTTAGAGGTACTCAAATTATCGGTGGAGTTCCTACAAATTGATTAATTTATGCAAATAAGGTAATTCGTAAGCACGGAATTTAACCTATGCACCAAGTTTCATTGAAACTGATGAGTGGCTGGCATATTGGTGGAAAAGTTAAATATTGACTAATTAATAACAAATTAGATCATTATTATACATGGATTTCAACCAAACACTAGCCAGGTTTGCAGAATTATTCCAGAGTATCTATATATCAAGTTTCATTGAAGCACATGGGGAAAATAGTGAAAAGGTTTGAAATTGGTTAATCATTATGCAAAATAGGTGAATAATAAGCACGGATTCCCCCCCCCCCCAAAAAAAAATCTGTACATTATCTCAGAACATCTATGTACCAAGTTTCATTATAATCTGACAATTGGTTTTTGAGATATCAGTGGAACAGATATGCACACGCACGCACCCCCCCCCCTCCACACACACACACACATGCATGTACTCACACGCGCGCACGCACACGCACTTGCACCCCCCTCCCCCCGCACACACACACACACACACACACACACATCCTCATATATATATATATACGTACATAAATATTGGGCAAAGTGAAAAACTGTACAGTAAGCAGTTCAATTAAAATCTGAAATCAGATAATTGATTTCATGTATATTCAGTTAAATGTGAAAGCAATCTCAGTTAATAGATGTTGTTTTCCAGAAGGTACAGGTACTGCATGTATGGGTCAAAGTGGGCGTGTGGTTATATCTTTCATTCTAATTTAACTAATATGTAACTGAGGTCAGCGTTTAATATCATCCAAAAGGTGTGGGTTGAGCATTTAATCTTGTGCTGGTATTTTACACGTTGCAGTAAAAACTGTACGGCCGGTTAAATTTCTTGCTCAATTATGGCAGTCCCGTTTCAGAAGCTGACAAATGGAGCAAATATGCCAAGACTTGGCTTTGGAACCTGGTTGGTAAGTTGACGCTTTGGGTACAGTTTCGATTCACTGTCGTTTTTAATAATACACTATAATACACATTGAGATCATTCATACTTGTCACGTGGTACTGTATTCATTCTTATGTCCATTTCATTCTACTTTGATTTGTCCGTGCCCGACGTCTTCCTTCGATATACGGCAGTAGGCAGTACATATTCTGAACGCTATAGTCAGTACTGTCAGCCCAGATAAAATCACATCAATTTCAATATTCGAGTGGAAACATTGTCATGGCGACGATCCGCAGTTTCGCCCTGATAAGCCGTGGAAACAAATAAATGAAAAAATAATATTTGGTGATATTTACTACCGGTAATATAGTGCAGCAAACCAAATTGTATAGGACATGTAATTCGAACCAAACATAAACCCCGATAGAAGCATAGGTCCACGCCTAATCGCATTACAGCTTGCCATTGATCTGTTGCAGTTGCGTTGAAATAAGGTTTCCGAATGTAGCTAATTGGAGAACGTATGAACATAATCAATAACGCAATAAACATACTGTTATGCCAATCATTGAATGGTCTTATTTATCGTTTTTAAATGTAAATATTTAAATTGTAAACATTGTCATGGCTTTTTAAACATGATTATTAAGTATAGTAGCCAGGATGCTATACATATTAGTTATACGGGTATAAAACAATACCAAAGCAAATTCTTCCCACTTCCGGTCCGGTTAGACTTAAAATATACCACGAAATATACCACTTCGGTCGAGCAAGACTTAAAATATACCACGAATATTCACTTTTGATTTTTTTTTTTTTTTTTTTTTGAAATTTTTGGTATCTGTTGGTTCTTGGATATTTCAGCTCGTCGTCCTGTTTAGTAAGTTTAACGTTCAAGGTCATCACTTTTTCATAGCATAAAAATAGTTTTCTCCCTCGCTTATTGTGATACCCTCAAATACGAGTGATTTCCATTCCTCTCAACGGTGAACAATGGTTTAGTCCCCTACTTTACGCTGCGACTCGAAACAGTTTTTTATGCTTCACGTGGACGTGTTTATTTTCCTTCAATTACGTTTTGTTGGTTGGTGTAGTTGACTTTTCAGAGGTCAGAGCCTCAGAGGCTCAGAGCCTCAGAGGCATATGCTGGTATTATGAAAGCCCCTTGTTTTATATGTGTATGAAACGATGATTATTTGAAAATAGATTGAAATATATAAATACAATCCATTCTCGCTAACTAGAGTGTGTTGTTTTTCTACTCGCTTAAAAAAACGTATTTACGTAGAACGGATGAGTATGTCGCCGCGGGAGAGCGTGATCAACGACTATATCACAATGTTGATGATTAAATGTTATATTATGTTGAGCATTTTCTATGGAGTATTTTAAATCATGTTTTGTAGGTGTGGAAAGGGGGGTCTTCGGATAAGTAGATCATCTCTAATCATAACATTCTATATATTAAGAAAACCGTAACAGATCCAGTCTCTGAAATTCAACAACTTAAATTACAATGTGCATTTAACACAATGCAGGTTGAATCTCACAGGTCATTCTTGATAAAATGCACAATATGAATGGGATTGACAATTATATATGCCGGGATGGGGGTAATATCAATCTGATTAAAATCCGATGTAGGTATGAGGCTCCATTTTTTTTATTATTATTATTTTTAATGACCCTTTATACTATATTTATTTGTATTTAAGTTAGAATATGTCGATTTTTTGTTTTTTCTTGCCGTTATTCAGTAAGTTTTGTTCAAGATAAACTAAAATATTGACATATTCAAACTAAAATACAAATAAATATATATAAATATACTTTTTTTTCCAAGTCAGTAGATCATTAAGACCTGGATTATGATGTCTTAAATATTTAAAAATGAAAAAAAAATGTTATTCAATAATATTAATATTATATATCATCCCTTGATACTCAACCTCTGAGGCTCTGAGGTTCTGACCTCTGAAAAGTCAACCACACCTTTGTTGGTTGTCACTGTCGTCCTTGGAATCTTGGTTCCACTTTACGTGGATATCACCGAGAAAATCAATGTTGTCAACTAACACGCGGAAAATCAGATTAGCATAACAATGCTTTTGACTATGTCTTTTCCGACACCACAGACAATTACAACATTTAAACCGTATTAGAGAAATTTACTCGCATTAAATTGCATTCGCCATGCTAGGCAATGAAACAAAATATTTGTACTAAAGTACGTTCAATGTCTTCACTTTATCATGGCATAAACACGGTTTTCACAATTGCTTACTAAAAGTAAAATATGTTCGGAGTCACAATCACTGTAGCTATCGCCGAGGTAAATAGACTCTTACCCCCTTGGTTATTACTGTAGAATACTAGTACTTTATTTTCGCTTGGAATTTATTTTCGCTATTTTCGCTGAAGGGATAATTCCGTGAAAATAAAATCCAGCGAATACACTTTTTTACCTATATTTCACATTAAACTCATCAAAAATCAGTGAAAATAAATTCTATACAAAACGCCTAAAAAGCCTTTTCAGCGAAAATTAATTCCAGCGAAAATAAAGTATTCCACAGTATTTGTCGCCAGAGCGATTCACATCCCAAAGTGTTTGTTTTTTTCTAAATGAAAATAGTCTATCTAAGCGCTGGAATGATTGGGCAAAAATCTGTTTGTTTTTTTGGCCACGACCTTTTCTCGCTCGGAAATACAAGTGTAATAAGACTCGACTTTTTTTTGTTTCGAGTTCATTGTATGCCTAGAAACACAGCAACGTTATTATTGTTAACATGATCTGTTCCAATTTGACAATGACAGTAGCCCAAAATAGACTTCCAAAATAGACTTCACGTCTTTGATTTGATTGATAATGTTCACGCCGACGTATGTAAAGACACTCTCGAACTTGACAATATGATGATTATAATTATGGCCGTGATAGCTGTATTTAGGGTTCATTTCCATGAAATTGCGATTCTCAATTTCTATGTGTAAAATCACATCGTTAGTGTGAACGGCGACAGATTATGTTGGTTCTGCGACGTTTTCTTGGTCACATTTTGTGTATACCAGACACTGATAAATAAGTAAACGGTCCGGGAATAAACAACATGGGAGTCTGAATAACACATAGGACCTGACGATGGCATCGTCATACAGCATTAAACTCACATAACAATATTATGTGTCTGAATAATTAAATATATATGCTGGAGAACACAATATACAAGGACTGGAAACTGCCAAGTACACAGTGTAGTCAAATCAGTAAGCAAAAGATACTAATCACCCTATCATATATTTGAAATATGACAATCCCTGAGTTGACAATTCCTAATATTGCTAAGCCGCGAGTTTTAAATCTCAGTTATTAGGAATTCCGCATGAAGTTACATGTTATGTTCAGGTTATATATTACATTCTTTAATTAATATTTCATTGGTATTTTTGTGAGTGTACCTGTGTATATTAAAATATGCACACCATTAAAATGATAAAAACCTCAAATGCAACCACGGTAAACATGCAAAGTAAACAACATTATCGAGTGATTTTGGATTAGTTAAAAATATGTCAACATGCTGTGACAGTTTATCTAATTGGTGTTGAGAATTGCAAGGCCAGTTTATAAAATTGTGAATAATAAATTTTGTAAATATCACTGACCACAAAATACGCCCATACATTACTTATACATGTAGTATGTCACTAAAGCAGTATAACAAGCATATTTAGGAACTCCTGTCAGAACAAATCATAAAGACAGCTCTTAAGGATGATATTGTTGTTAATGACATATAAAACGCACAAGTCTTAACTCTGATGAAATTACCAGTTACTGCGACAAAGCCCGACTCACTGCTAAAGCTAATCACTACGAAGGACTGTCACGACTTAATTGTCGTGTTATCAAGCCTTCAAGTTAGGTACCAGTGATCGGAGGATTCGCCACCCTTTCAATCGAACAAAGACACACAGAGCATCGAATTGTGTCACATTTGGTCTCAGCCGCGTTGTAACTCTCCCCAGGCCGCATCAAGACTTGGGCCTCGTCGAGAGCTTGCCACAACTAACTGAGATCGGCTTTATTCACTTTCCAACTGTTAACCAATTACAGAGAAGTTTTTGAGCTTGAGGCGTAGCCTCCATACATTCAATTCGCATATTGCCAATCACAAAGTATTTTACCTTAATGTCTGATTAATTGCCCCGATGTCGGAACATAACTCCCATAGTTATAGGCGCCTCGTTGACTTAACCAACATTCCGTATTCGACAATTATATTCGCCAGTTGTCTTCTTGCTAATCTCACTAACATGCAAATGAACGTGATCATGAAAAATTGTAAGCAGATGCGGATTATCCAGGGGTCGTCATTGAAAGTCGCTATCTAAAGACATGAAAATAAAAATCATGACAGGACACTCACAGCGAAAGCCAGTTATCGCGAAACAATTTTCAAAAAAGACATTTTACAAAGGCATGTTAGTGCTTAGCCCGGCTAAGTCTTCGCGCACACTTCGTTAGCCGTGTTAGGGACTGCTCTTAAACATGAAGCTGAGCGTTCATACACGTTTTTTACACGGGCTAACATTTTTGACCTCTTAGCACGTGCTAGCGAGCTATTCGCGAACGCAACTAAGAACAAAATATACATTTATAATTGGTTGATTCAACTCCCCCATGGTGTTTGGGACATCGATAGATGACACAACATAAGAAAGGTTTAGTAAATCTATCGGACGAAACCAGGAGGGTACTAGAACCCAGACAAGAACATCCTTATTTATTTGGGATGAACTAGTTTAAACAGCTATCCTACGAGTTTTGTGGGTAATAGTTTTGTTCATTATATATCCAACTTTTTAATAAATACATAACCTAGCTATACATTTCCACACTTGCTCTATTTCAGTCGGAACCAAACGAAGTCACCGACGCCGTTAAGAAGGCTATTGACATTGGTTATCGCCATATTGATACTGCGCATGTCTATCAAAACGAGAAAGAAGTGGGCGTAGCACTGAATGCAAAGCTTACCGATGGAACCGTGAAAAGAGAGGATTTATTTGTAGTCACGAAGGTATAATACACACATAATACACCTTCCATGTAACTCGCATTCTTTATGACGTAAATGGATGCCATGAAGACCAATCAAGGCGTAGAACATCAATGAACATAATAATAGTTATTTTATTTGACATAGAATTTAGTATGAATGAAAAAAACATAATTAATCAATGGTCGAGAATAGATTAAATAGATTAAAATAAAGCTTATAAATATAATCGATAAATTTTTCCAAGCAACTGACAATGAAGCTAATCTTTAGTGCCTAGCAAGTATGTAAATGTCTCAAGAGTTGGTAACTTGCAAATATTGTCATCATTAATTGCTAATTCAGCTTCTAAGTTTTTCAATTGGCAATGAGTGAGAAGAAATGCATTTTTTTTGTGCCAGGCGACAGTTCCGGACATTAAATGTCACTGTTATCCTGGCGTCAACCAGGGTAAGTCGAACACAAGCACCTGCAGTCCTTAACCAAGGTTCCCCAAAAGTCGCATTCGTTAGTGAATGAATCTCGGCCTGTGGAATTTGCCTTCCCATTGAGTCTGTGGCACACTCACCTAGGGTAGAAGTCGACCCTTTGATGATCAGCCTCAGGTAGGATTTGAACTTGGGTCTACCGATCATGAGTCTGATGCGACAACCAGAATGCTACCAGTGACCGGTATAAATGCAAAACTTGTTGAAGCTGACTCTGTGTTGATTTGTTCTAAATATGGTTCATATTCACAAATTAGTTTAAACTTGTTATAATTACGTAGCTTATTCTTCTTTGGTTTAAAAACCGACTATTTGTTTGAATTTGATTTTGAATTCTATAGTGTTAGATTTGTTACTAATTTTAGTTAATGTAAATAATCGAAAGTTGTTCAAGTATTACCGTGACCATACTGTCAATAGTGAAAGGACAGTCCAGAAGCTGATTATTATTAATTTAGCCTTTGATGACACATTTGTAAACTAATGTCAATAATGAGAAGATCGCTACCAAGTTCACTGTTTTTGAATAAAATTGTCTTCAGGTATTTCGAAATATAACTGGATAGCACTGTACATATGGATATTAGTTATGCCTTGTTGTGTTACAGCTGTGGAAAGCGGACCTTCATCCAGAAGACGTCAAGAACGCTTTTTTGACTTCACTCAAAGATTTACAACTGGAATATATAGATTTGTATTTAATTCACTGGCCAATGGCATATGCAGTAAGTACAATTATATAATTTTTCAAATAGATAGCTCGATCAGCGTAGAAGGAAATACTCAATGTGAATAAAACATAACAGCAGATGCATGGCATAGCGTAATAATTAGCACGACATGCTCCCACTAGCTACAGTTAGCTCTCTAACCAAATAAATGGATTAATGAACTTTAAAATTCAACATTCACCCATCTACTGGTGCCGTAACTTGGTTCAGATCTAGGTTCTCTTGAGTAAAAATACTACCGTTAAATATGTGAATATGGTCGGTCTTTGTCATAGAGCACATTCATAAAACACATCGATTTAATGACGGCGAATCACAATGCCGAACAATATCTAAATGGCATATAGAACATTTAAAAGACGAAAATCGATCAAAGCAACAAATTATTTAGACTGGAGTGATCGTCACCATCAGTTATATATTAATTTCATTTATACTTAGAGAGGAAAGGAAATGTTTCCTAAAGATGAAAACGGAAAGATTCGTTACGGTGACACAGACTATCTTGATACATGGAAGGTAAGTATATATTTTCTCTTGTGTATATATATATCGTATAGTCTGTAAAGGCACCGTTAGCTGTAACAATATCTTCGTGGCAAATGAAAAATACGTAATAATGTGTAACACCACAAACCAATGTTTCCAAATACAACATACACTTTGAAATTCAGGATACAAAAATTAGAAAACATACCAACACTGAAACAATTCTATAATCGAATATGACCACCCAAACGGTTACTCCAAATTAAAGGTAACCTTTCCAAAGCAAGATAGAGACCAACTGTCAGATGAAATGTGCATGGCAATTCAAAGATGTGGTATGCGTGATTACATTACGCATAAGGGACGGACAGTTTTACCTGTGTCTCGCCTCTCAAAATACGAGAACGCTTAACATGTGGTGCTTCTATCCCACCTCCGCACATTGTGAGCTATATAGTTTCCTCTTTAATTCAGGCAATGGAATTACTAGTTGATGAAGGGTTATGTAAGGCAATCGGCTTGTCAAATTTTAACAGAAAACAGGTGGACAGGGTGAGCGCAGTTGCACGTATACCAGTATCTGTTTTACAGGTAAGTAACATCATTTAATAATGAGTCTGGCAATACGACGGTATGGTATCATTAACTAAGGTATACAATTGTCAAACTGTCATTGTTTTGCTACATACCACACTATTGTTCAACAACTTCAATAAATTTAGCAGAAAAAGACATTCATATGTAGGCACATTCAGCACATAAATATCAGTAGGGTGTACATGGTATTTAATACTCAATAACTATTCGGAGAGAAGAAGTACCCTCTCTGACTAATACATATACATCATAACGGGTGATAGATATTAAAATGTATATAATATTAGATTTGATAATGACAGACACTGGGAATATAACGGTGCAACTTATTCTTTTCCAAAAGTTAAGGCTGTAATTTAAATTCGTTTCTACAGAATTTAAAATGCAACTTGAACTAATTTTCACATTGTTAAGGCATAATAATAACATCAGACGACCACATATTAAACGTATCAACCATGCCGGCTCAAACACGACTCCATTAATGAAACGTGCGTGTATACGACCCAGTCGAGATGGATATGATTGTGTACTGAAAAGTAGCATTTTAAAACCCACAATCACACATGCATACATAAAAACATACGCGAGAAAGTGTGTTTCACAACACGACTAAAAAGGAAGTTAAATATGAAAGCTGTTATTAATCGTTCAATCACCATTTATTGACCACCATGTAGTAACATAAGATAATAAACTTAAAATGAACTTGATTTGTAGTTCAAATGTTTATGTTACCTTGTATTTTACAGGTTGAATGTAATCCATACTTGACCCAAGAAGATCTCGTATCTTATTGCAAATCAAACAATATTGCTATGACGGCGTATAGTCCTCTGGGATCGCCGGCCAGACCATGGT